CAATTTTACCCAATACTAATTTTTTGACTACGAAAAACACGAAACTGGTACACCTGTGATAAATTTACCTCGAATTAATTTTTTGACTACCAAAAACCCCAAACTAGTACACTTATGACAAATTTACCCTCCGTAAATTAAATTAATATCACGAAAAATCACAAATTCGTAAACTTGTGGCAAACAGAGGGGTAAAACCCCAAACTAGTACACCCGTCAACAACCACGTGTCATCAAACTCAGCAATTTGATAGTAAAATTTAACGGAAACTAACAGAGGGTAAATTTGTCACATGTATACCATTTCGGGATTTTTGGTGGTCAAAAAATTAATTCGGGATAAAATTGTCACAGATGTACCAATTTGGGATTTTTATGGACAAAAAATTAGTTCGAAGTAAAATTGTCACGGGTATACCAGTTTGGGGTTTTTTGTGGTCAAAAAATTAGTTAGGAGTAAATTTGTCACAGGTGTACCAGTTTGGGATTTTTCGTGGTATTAACCCTATAAATTATTTCCTGAGTTTGTATTAGGTAATCACATATTTTAAAAGGTTTCATATCTTAACTTTTAAGAGAAAATCACAAAAATAGCATGCATATCATACTGGGTTAGTCGCGTATACTCCATGTCATTGCTATGTAATTGCCACGTCATCATTCTTGCCCTGTCATCGCCATATCATTACCACATCATCATTGTTGCCACGTCATTGCAATGTCATCACATGTGACATCATCAATTGCCATGTTATCATATGTCCATGTCATTAGTGATTTCATGATTAAGGACATTTGAATTACATTGCATGTCATATCAGATTTGAAATAATTTTGCCCATCATTAAAGTTAGGTCACGTCATATGTCACTAGTCTAATACTTAAATTTAGATTAGCATAGCATATAATTTAGTTTTCAAAAATAGGAAAAGCCCAAAAAAAGATTTAATTAGACAAACATAATCATTTAGAAATCATGTTTAGGTTAGGCATGCATTATTTTAATTAACACCTTACAAATATTTGGAAAATTAAACCATAATAAGATTGTGGATTTGCTTTGCCTTAAGGTTAGCCCTTCTCCTAGCAATTTATTTATTGCTTTGATTTATTAAGTGTTACTTTACTGATTGCTCACCCACTTGATCACCCATTGAATATTAGTGGCTCAAGTCAAAATTAACCAAAACTGTCTGCAAAAAGTTTTCAATAAAGACAAAAGGTACCGAAAGAGCGTTAAATTTATCTAGAGTAATCAAGTACTCGTATCCATGAATCTCTAGTTCGCAGAAGTAAAGTGTTCTCCCACTCTTTTACTTAGATGTCTAACAGATTGACAAAAATTGATTAGTAGCGGCTTCAAAATGTAAGAAAATTATATGTTAAATCGAGTATCAAGTTGCGATAGGTATGGGCTTTGGAGAGTACACGCTAAGGCTTTGTTCGTTTCACGGAAAACAACTTCCAAAAAAAAAAATTCAGATTTTCTGGCGTTCGTTTCACGGAAAATAAACTTGTCATGGAAAACATTTTCCTCCAATGGAAAAAACACATTCAAAAGTGGGGAAAATGCTCCATATTTTCTTTCACCTCATTTTCTTTCAAATAACACATTTTTCTTTTATCTTTTATCTTTTCTATTTTTTAAAATATTGATTTTTTAATTATTTTAAATTTTCTTTTTTTCCCTTTTTTCTTTTTTGCTTCTTCCTCGATCGGTCGCCGACCATGGCGGCAGCCGGTGACCGGCCATAGGCGAGCTCCAGCCTCGCCACAGGCCGATGAGGCTCGAGCTCGGGCCTCGCTGAATCAGGCAAGGCTCAACCTTGTCGGAATCGGTCGAGCTCAAGCCTCACAGGCCAAGGAAGAAGAAAATAAAAAGAAAATAAAAATAATTTAATAATTAAAAATTTTGAATTTTTTGGTATTTTTCCCTAGAAAATCAAATCGGATACCAAACAACGGAAAATATTTTTCATGTGATTTTCAGGTTTCAGCCGAATACCGGAAAATATTGTCATTTTCCTGAAAAATGGCTTATTGGAAAACATTTTCCATAAACGTTACATTTTCCGGAAAAACGAACAGAGCCTAAGTTTTGGGCTTAGTAATCCATTAGTTTTGCCCATGGTGTTCACCTCAGGGAACGTTGCGACGTACCAACTCCAAAGGTTGCTTGGCTCTTTTAGCTTTTCCAACTAGAAATGATTCTTGATGTTGTTTTCTAACGAGACATCTTTCACATTGGTGGTCTGGACTATCGATGAAAGGCATAATCACCATATTTTACTCGACCAGTAATTTTAGTCCACAAAAATTAGATGACTGAATCAAAAATGCCACAACCACTTGCTATCTTTTGTCATCGATTGAAAACTCGACAGAGTCTTTGTCTGAAGAGACAGAGGGAACATCCGGTTCTTCATCATCTATACTGTCGTGATCAACTTATTGTTTACACCTCCGATGGTGCAAACTCGATTTTCAATGTTAACTTTGTGGCCTTTTTTCAGAAAGTTGCCCAATACTTAGCAAATTCCAGAAAAGTCCAGGCACAAAGTAAGCATCTACAATAGTAACATTAGTACCATCTTTTGATTTAATATTAATGTCATATTTGCCCATCACGAGAATTTTTTATTTATTTCCAAAGTTAACTTTACCAGGAACTGTCTCATCTAATTGCGAGGATAGCTCCTTTAGTCCCACCAACATATACTACCGCCTTAGTTGGAGTAAGAACCAAAGTTCAATTTGAAATTTTCCTCCTCAACCAAAATCAATTTTACTAATTTTTAACAAATCTCATGTCTTTTGTGGTGGCTTAGAAATTATCTCCCATTCTTCTACGAGACAACCATTGAGTTCCATGCGCAATCCATCTTTTGCGATTCTCATGGAATCACAAGTGACAATCAAATCTCTCTCGCGTATGCCATTACGTAAATGCCAAGTCCTAGTTGGCATTGGCGTTTCTGTTTGGGCTGAGACAAAAGAGTCTTGATTTGATATCTCATATTTTAGTGGAGGAAGAGATATTAAAAAACAGAAAACCATCACAGATGATCAAATACACCATTATTCTATAAATAGCCATTTGAAATCGAACGCTTAGAGCGAACATTAATTAGCTAAGACAGCCACACACACGAGAAAAATTATATCGAGCATGGCTACGACAAGAAGAACGATTAGTGTTCTCATGCTTCAGTGGCTTGCTCATGGTCACATAGGTCCATTTCTAGAGCTAGCCAAGAAGCTCTCAACGAGGAACTTCCACTTCTTCCCATGTTCAAGTCCTGCCAACCTTAGTTCCATCGCAATTCCTCATAAATATTGTTCCACCATTGAGATAGTGGAGCTCCATGTCCCATCTTTACCTGGTCTCCCTCCTCTATACCACACAACTAGGGGCTTACCGCCTCACCTCATGCCCAAACTGAAAATGGCCTTCGACATGGCAGGCCCTAACCTCTGCGACATCATCGCTGATCACCAACCCGATTTGCTTATCTTCGATTATCTCCTCCCATGGGCGCCTGAAATTGCGAGGTCGCACGGCATCCCAGCGGTCATCTTCTTCAGCGTGGCAACAGGGATGAGCACATTTGCATTCCACCTTATCAAGAGGCCGAGCGATGAGTATCCTTTCAAGGTTATTCGTCTTCAAGACCATTGGATGGCAAAGTATAGGAACCAAATGAAACAATTTGGAGAGTGGCATGAGCGACACGGAAAGGGTCGTGCGATGCACTGACCATTCGTCGGGCCTAATCTTCATGAAGACCTTTAGGAAATTGGAGGGCAAATACATTGACTACCTAAGCGATCTTTTGGGGAAGAAAGCCGTGCCCGTCGGCCCACTAGTTCTAGACCCTGCCCAAGAGGATGGGAATCACATAATTGAGTGGCTTGATCAAAAAGTAAGATCGTCGACCATATTCGTGTCCTTCGGCACAGAGTACTTCCTCACAGAGAAGGAAAGAGAAGAGATAGCCTATGGGTTGGAGCTTAGCAATGTCGACTTCATTTGGGTGGTTAAATTTCCGGTGGAAGAGAACATCAAGCTTGAAGAGGCACTTCCTAAGGGATTTCTTGAAAGGGTGAGAGATAGAGGACTAGTGATAGAGGGATGGGCACCACAAACTAGGATTCTAGCACATCCAAGCGTAGGTGGATTTGTGAGTCACTGCGGATGGAGTTCGGTCATGGAGAGCATCAAGTTTGGGGTCCCGGTCATCGCGATGCCGATGCATCTCGACCAGCCGTTCAATGCGAGGCTCGTCGAGGACGTCGGGGTCAGATTGGAGGTGATGAGGAACGAGAGTGGAGAGCTTGAGAGAGAGGAAATTGCGAAGGTGATCAAGGCTGTTGTGGTGGAGGAAGGTGGGAAGTGTGTGAGGAATAAAGTCAAAGAAGTGAGTGTAGGCATTAGGAATAAAGGAGATGAGGAGATTGATGAAGTGGAGGATGCGATAGTGAAGCTTTTTGGAGTGTGAAGGATGGTGTTTGACAGTTCGTTGAGTTTATGTTAGATCTTGTTACTGAATCGCTTAAATTATTCAATGATTATGGGGAGATGAAGGGAGAGAGTGAGAGTTGTAATAAAAGATTGCACAGAAGCTTTCAAAATTATGTTATGCTGTGGTCAAACTCTTATCTCCATGTTTTTCCTAGAGAAGCTTATATTTGGATTACGATCCATACGAATGTACCCATCTATGAGAGAAGAATCAAATTCTATATTTTATAATAATACTATACTTTGCCTTGAGTTAAATTACCAACACCAGAGCATTATCGATAATTTAGTTTTACTACTTAAGAATTCAAATTATAAATATAGACATGTCCGCGCTTTCCACGTGTCGAGTATCTAGTTATTATAATGCCTCAGTTACAACCCGTCCGTTCTTTAATTTATAGTCCAATTATAACATATCTAGCATCAGGTCCTTCAGGATGACCTTGCTATTTTTTCAGTTCGAATACATCATTATCCTATATTATCATGGAAATATGACCAGTCCAAATGCCACAAAAGGCTAAAAACCAAAAACAAGCAGGCAAGTGACATTAAGCGCTTTAGACCTGCTTCCACGCATGTCCATCGACGCAACGTTTCGGCTTCCGTCCTCCACCTCTCGGCCACGTTTCATGCAGGTACATCCTCATGCAAAACCAGCCTCTGAATCACCGTCCTCTTCCCATATAAACCATGCACGCTTGTTGAACATTCCAGTTCTTTATCATCGAAAACCAACCCAGAAACAAAGTGAACTAGAAAAAAAGAAAGAAATGAGCCCAGCGAGAGACACGTTCACAAGCATTCTCATGCTTCCATGGCTTGCTCACGGCCACATCTCTCCATTCCTTCAGCTCTCCAAGCGATTTGCGGATAGAGACATCCACATCTACTTCTGTTCCACACCTGTGAACCTTGCCTCTATTAAACCAAAGCTTGTAGGCACCAAATACTTCAGCAAGATAAAGCTCGTTGAGCTTCATCTTCCTTCACTGCCAGAACTTCCTCCTCGTAACCACACCACGAAAACACTACCTCCACACCTCATGCCGACCCTCAAGATGGCCTTTGACATGTCGAGCTCCAGCTTCGCTGATATCTTGAAGCTGCTTGACCCGGATATGGTCGTTTACAATTTCCTCCCACCTTGGGCGCCGGCGATTGCCTCATCGCTGGGCATCCCAGCGGTCGAGTTCATGTGCACAAGCGCGACGATGTGCGCTTTTGTCAGCCATGCTAGCATGAAGCCCGGTGTCAAGTTCCCGTACCCGGAGATCTATCTTCATGATCATCAGGTCGATAAGTTCACCAACTTGCTCGAGTGTTCTGCTAATGGGATCAAAGATTGCGAACGAGTGTTCCAGTGCTATGAACGGTCCTCGGACATGATCATGATCAAGGGCATAGGGGAAATCGAGGGAGAGTATATTGACTACCTATCGTTCTTGATAGATAAGAGGGTGGTCCCACTCGGCCCGCTTGTGGAAGATACTGTGTTTGAAGATGACGAAAAATCTGAAATTTTGGACTGGCTCGACAACAAGGAAGAGAAGTCGACCGTCTTCGTGTCGTTCGGGAGCGAGTACTTCCTCTCGAAGCAAGAAATGACAGAGATAGCTCACGGCTTGGAAGCCAGCAAAGTGAACTTCGTCTGGGTGGTGAGGTTTCACGACGGAGAGGGAGATGCAGCCGCAAACGGCAGATCCCACTTGCCAGACGGTTTCCTCAAGAGAGTCGCAGGACGAGGCCTGGCTCTAGAAGAATAATCGCCACAAGCGGCGATACTGCAACACTTAAGTATCGGTGGGTTCGTGAGCCATTGCGGATGGAGCTTGGTGATGGAGAGCATGAGGTTCGGGGTCCCGATCATCGCGATGCCGATGCAGTTCGACCAGCCTGTGAACGCGAGGGTGGTGGAGGAGGTCGGTGCCGGCATGGAGGTGAGGAGGGACAAGGTGGGGACAATCCGGAGCGTGGAGGTGGCGAGGAGCATAAGGAACGTGATCGTCGACAAAGTGGGGGAGAGAGTGAGGCAGAGAGCGAGAGAGATGAGAGGCATTATGAGAAGGAAAGGTGATGAAGAGGTTGATGGGGCTGTAGACGAGCTCTTGCAAGTGTGCAGGAAGAGGAACTGGGGTAAAGAGAATCATAGGATTTTAGTACCCGACTGATGATGCTAACTGTCCTGTTCATGTCATCCTAGAAAACTAAATACTCCCATGTTATGTTGACTACACCGAACGAATAAGCAAAGCCTCTATTGTATCGCATTTGGACGATAGTATATCGCATTTCCATTTTGATTTCACACATCGGGCTATCTTGATCGACACTGAAAACCAGGGCAATATTCAAGATAAAACATCCATCCACGTAAGCATCAACCAATATCAAAAGACAATTTCATGGCCACAGGAGTTCTCTTCCTTCGAAACAACTAACTGTACTTTTTTTTTTGGTCGAAAACTAACTGTACTTGGAATCATGAACAACTAGCTTGTACTAGTAATTATGAACGAACAGAGAGCAAGTTTACTAGTAATTATGAACGAACAGAGAGCAAGTTCAACTCAAGTTCAACTTCTTTCGCTGACGACCGATGGGTTTTTTTTTTATTCTTTCGATTGACACTCTTCCACATCTTGGTTTTATATATAAGGAGGAGTTCACGGTTAAAGAAAAGAGTACACACAAATCAGTCAAAATGACCAACAATACTTGGATGTCATAAGAAAGTTTGCTAACAGGCCACACAGATAAATAATTTTCAAGAGATAAAAGCCTTTTGGATCAGAGAACACTGATATATCCGAAACTAGCCAAAAGATTATGTCCAAAGAAGAAGGTCATCATTCAAAAATCCAACCACTTACTATAATACTCGCAAGACGTCGGAGAAATGATGCCGCCGGGCGTACAATGGGCTATCTGCGGGCACACCCCGCAAGGTATCGAAGCCATCGCCCCCGCTCTCGGTTCCTTCGCGGCATCGGGCGACCTCCTACACTTATAACACATCCTACCAGTCGGGACAGAAGCAAACTCCCCAAGTCCATTGCTCCTCATTTCGACCACATCATTGTCCAAAACCAATGCCCTCACAATGTCCCCAATCTCCTGGCTCGAGTAGTCATTCTTCAGGACCCTGGACCGCCGGACGGCGTCCGCGACCATGTCCACTGTCGCAATTTTTAGATTCCTGATGTGCTTCAGGCAGTGGTCCTTGAGGAAGTTGATGAACTCAGAGTCGAGGCTCCCTTGGTTGTACCACTTCCCGCCGGTGATCTCCGGGGAGGGCTCGAACTCGGAGGCAAGGAAGTGCTTCCGGCCCTTGAACTGGACATTGACCACCTCCTTGATCAGACCTCTGCTGAGAAGGGACTTGAGGGACTTATCAACGACGTTGTCGGGGAGGCTGGTCTCCCGCTTCATGTCTCTCGACCAGATGCCCAAGTCTTGCTTGCTCTGGATTAGATTGTAGAGTATCTTCTCTTGCTCAGTCATGGACTGAGCAGGAGCATTCGAGTCCGCTCGCTTCCTTTTGCTCATTGCTGTCACTGAACACAGAGAGAGAGAGAGAGCACTGGTTCATTACATTATGAAAATGTTATCTTAACCCAAGGAGAAAATAGCTCCCTCCGATTGCAAAACAACGTTAATCTGAAAAAATGGACAACTCATGAGGGGAAAAAGACAGAGGACATTAGTCTCCAGCTCAAAAGCGACATTTGCATATCAGCAACCAGAAAGAAACCTGCTTGAACAAGAGCAACTGAAAATTCAAGCGACAGAGGAGATCGAACAGAACGAACAATCAAGAAGAGGTTAAACTGTCAAAGATCTCGACACATTGGCCACTGTTCGGAGACAGGGAAGATTAACTGGGATAATAGAAACCGAGTCACTCACCAGTCTCGAAACAGCTCGCTAATCCGAGATTGTTCTCACAATCCAACATGTTGACCAACTAGAAAATTCTTGCAACTAATCAATCCACCAAATTTTTCGTCGTGAACCGTTTACAGATATAATTCTCACGTAGTAATAATTCAGAACAGTCAACAAATGTACAGATTGGAGTTTACTTATATAAACCACATGGACTGAATAATCAAGAACTTGACAAACACACAAACAGCTGGTGATCATACTATCAAATGGGGCATAAGAGGCCCCGTCTTCTTGATAATACAACAAGCACACTGGATACCAGCGAGAGAGAAAATGGGAACCTGTTCGGGGAGCGATGGGGCGGAGGAATCCGGACGGAGCGGTTCACACGAGCGAGAGAGCGGGAGAGAGAACCAACGACGGTTTGGGAGCCTCAACGGAGCTCGGACTGTCAGCTCGAGCGTGCGACGGAGCTCGGCTGAGGAGTCGATCGGCGACGACTGAGTTCCGCGCGGGCAGATGGGTAAAGTCACAAAAAGCCGCCGGAGCCCGTTATCCGGCGGGCTCGTCGTCCGGCTGAGACCTGCACGATCGGATGAATTCCGTCGATAAACGGAAACCCATCTTCCATCAAACCACTACAAATCACTGGACACGATACCCAACGCCGGAAATCGAACGTTACCATGTCGGCGGCCGCGGCTGCGAGGAACGAACGGGAGGAAGATGGAAGCACACGAGGAAGAGAGAGAGATTCCTCGGAGAGGCCAAAACACCAGCAACAGTTAACCGTAAGCGGGGCAACAACGCCCCGTTTGTCTGGTTACCCTAAACGATGGCTTTGATTCTTGGTTTGGGTCGGCATGTCTGGGCTTTTCATCAAGAACCCAAATATCAAGAGAAGGCGTTTCAGGGGCAACTTTTGCTGCAAACAATCTTGTGTTCCAGTGATTCACCACCCCCTTTTCTTTCCTGATTTCTTTTCCCTTTTTTTTTCGCATTCCGAGACATTTTTTTTTTTTGTCTAAAATACGATGCGGTTTTGAACAGGTTCGAAACTGGTTATACTCGAGAAACAGTCTCGAAACCGGTTCACAGTCAGTTCGCAGTAGAAAACCGGGAATCGCCAAGGCCAGTTCCTGAATCTTTTATCTATGCACCTGTACCAGTCCTCGTGTGAACTAGCCTGGAATCGGTCGGGTAAGCCCAATCCGGCTTGAAATCATGCCTTGGTTCGTTTCCCTTCATGGGAACGATTGTTTTTTTTTTTATGTAGGGCGACAAATTCGTCAAGAGTTTTAAGGAGTTAAACTTAAACACTTAAATATCCTTTAAAATAAAATTATTTGTTGTTCAAATGTGATCACTTGAATTTTAATTCTCAAAAAATTATCCCTCAATATATATAATTTCCTTACATAATTTTTGAAGTTTATTTTTTTACTAATCATTTTTTGCATCAATTAACCATTTAAAAATACATAACTAATAATCAATTCTTATTATTTGACCTTTTTATTACTGGCACCATTTCCCTTTTGCTTAACTTTTTATTCCTTTTCCTAATTTGTCGTATTTAGTTGCTCAATCAAAGTGGCTATATTCATCAAATTCTAAAAAAACTTTATAACTTATTAATATTTATTATTTCCATTACTAATATTATTTAAGCTAATTTAGATTTTCCTTTTTCTCTAATCTTTTCATTTTCTATAGAAATTGAGAGTAAAAAGAGAAACTCCTTCAAAAAAAATTGAATGGAAATACTTTTTTACCCTCTGATAATCATGTATATTGCACATGCTAACATAAAAAATAATGGAGGGTAAACGGTTATAACAAAATGAAAATTTAGAGGATATTATGCAATATTGAAATTTTGAGCATACACGTGTATTTCCTTCGGAGTTCATTAAAGTTTTGAGTAACTCTCTCCAATAGTTTTAATTGGTTCACACGATACTGTCAGAAAAATAATACCGTTTGTAGTTTTAAGTAGCATTTGAATTCGTTTGATGAGAGGTTGCTCTCCGCACTAATGGTGTACTGAACTTCAATTCAAACCTCGATCGGGGCATCTCATTTCTCCCTAATTATGGCACGAAAGCAATCTTGCCCACGGAAATGGAAATCCCTTCGTTACAGGTGTTGTCTCAAATAAAACTAACCAAAGCAAAATTGATTCAACAAAGGTTGGAGCAGCCCAACATAATCGATGAGAAGCACTTGAGAGCTCTTTCCCATGGGCAGTGTTATTAATAACTGATCATTTTTAGGAAAATATTTTCCAAATCATTCATTTTTCGCGAAATAAATAGACCCTCTCTCCCATCTTGGTTTGTTTCCTTTCGTGGTAACGCATTCCTCTTGTGGGGGCAGCAAACACGATGTGAGTTTCCAGGAGATCAATTTATACACTTAAATATCCCTTAATTGTTCAAACTGTAATCACTTATTTGCTATTTCTCGAAAAATTATCCCTTAATATACATCGTTTCTAATATGTTTATTTACTAATCGTTTTTTACATTAATTAACCATTTAAAAATCCATAACGGGTAAACAATTTTTGTTCTTTGACCTTTTTCTTATTGGTATTGTTTCCCTTTTGCTTGATTTTTTTTTATTCTTTTTCCTAATTAATCGTATTTACTTCTTCTAATAAAGTGGCTATACTCATCAAATTCTACCAAATCTTTATCATTCATTGATATTAATTATTCGCATCACCATTATCTAAGATAATTTAGCTTTTCCCTTTTCACTGTTCGTTTCATTTTCTATGCTAATTAAGGGTAAAAGAGAGATTTCCTTCAAAAAAAATTAGATGAAATTACTGTTTCACCCCAATTATACGTACTGTGCATGCCAACAAAAAAAATAATGAAGGGTTAACAGGCGTAACAAAACGAAAGTTTAGAATAATAGGGTATTGTGTAACATTGAAAGATTGGGGGTAAACATGTGTTGTTCTCAAGTTTCAGGAAATTAGATATAATTTAGCTTTTCCCTTTTTGCTATTCTTTTCATTTTCTATGCTAATTAAGGGTAAAAGAGAGATTTCCTTCAAAAAAAATAGATGAAATTACTGTTTCACCCCAATTATATGTAATGCACATGCCAACATAAAAAATAATGAAGGGTTAATGGCCGTAACAAAACGAAAGTTTAGAATAATAGGGTATTGTGTAACATTGAAAGATTGAGGGTAAACGTGTGCTGCTCTCAAGTTTCAAGAAATTTCCGGGTAATTTTTCCTAATAATATATTCAGGTTAACATTAAATGCAGTGAGGGGTATTCCAAGCCTCCATGCTTATGTTTGGAATGAAAACACCGATATTATTGAAAAGTTTTTTTTTTCGTTTGTGATTTGAAGTAGCGTTTGAATCCGTTTGCTTTGCTTTTCTCCCCCATAAACAGGAAAACAGTTCAATTTAATTTTAGTTTAGTGAAAAATTAAACATTTCTCAATCCAACACACTATTTGTCTAGGCTATGTCCATTTTCCCCTACGCAGGTTTCGTATACACTTGTACAAATACACAACTCAGTGTGCTTTCGAATGTTTCAAATACACTTGTTCACTCCCTACATATTCATTCATTAAGACAAACGTTCAAATACTTACTTGTGAGATCAGATAAAAACAACCGTATGAAGCATTAAAATGAGCATAGCTTGATCACTTCTATCAGGAAAGGAAGCATCTTCATATGTCAACGCAGAGACTCCACATTCTTGCTGAGCTCCTCCAGCTTCTTCATCCTCAACTGCTCACTCTCAGATAAAAGCTGATACCAGAGATCACACAACGAAACAAGCCACGATCAATCACTAGGAGGTACCGACGTTATGCAAATTGCAAACTACGTACGCGGTGCTTGACCTTAGAGGAGGACAACAATCAAGTGAGGAGAAGAAACAATACGGAGACGATTGTGCAGGATTCGAATGGAAGATACCTGCATTAGTGTGGCCATTAGTTGAGCCTTCTCCTTGCTCTTCTCATTGAAAGCTTCCATGGCTTCTTTGTACTCCTTTTCCTGATTGGATCAGAAAACCCGCATGACAAACCTAAATTAGTATTGATGCTCAAGCGAAATGATCAGTCCCATATGTGTCAAAGTAATCGAAAGGGCTTTCTCCTAGGCAGACAATGCAGAACGACGTTACCATGACAGAAAAGTTCGTGCGGAGATTAGACTACAATTTGGAGAGTTTAAGGTTTGACCTTTTTCTGGCAACTCTGTCCAAGCGGCTTCAGCTCGCGAATGATCATGTCGATCTTCTTGCGAACGGTCGCAACTTCCTTCCTCAAGGGGTCTGTTAGCTCTTCCAGCTCCTAACAGATCATTGAGACAAAGTTGTCGACAAATGATGCTTCACAATTAGCTCTTAGTTCTTTCCTAGCGTAGCCAAATGGTCCAAAAAATGCAACTTCATCTATTTACAGATGAACCTTGAGAATGTAGAGATATATGGTCATTTTCTAGCAATATATATTGTGTGGCGCATGTAATTTGGTGCAACAGAAGACAAATCAGTGCAAATAAAACTTTGGCTGTTGAGAGCTTATCAAGAGCTGACCTCCCAAATCTGAGCTAACCGCCTCGTAGCTTCCTCGGCACGCCCCAACCGAAGTTCCACTCTCTCCTTCACCTCCATCTTCTTCTTCACGATCTCTTCTTCCCGAGCCTGCAAAGTCGATATGGCCAACCTCGAGATGTCCTCGTCTTCGTTGACCTGGTCTTCATCTGTGGATGGCCTCCCGCCACCATTGATGCTCCCGTGGTTCTTCATTCTATGCAACGGTAGCATAGCGATTCGATTGTTTGCGGATTAGTTCGAAGCAGAGGGCTCATGTTCTCTTTTGGGGTCTGTTTTTATGTGCCCACACTCTATCCTTTTTTATCCTTTTGCTTCAATCCTCTGCTTCTGAAAGGGCAGAAAGCTTGCTTCACTTTCAAAACATTCCAAGAGAAAACAATGAAAAAATAGAATCTGCACTGCCATTTGCACAGCCAGCTACTGGTTTTGGCAATAGAAGACTACGAACTCACTTGTGCCATGATTTTCAATTAAGATTGAGATTTACGAGAACCGTTCCTTGATGTACTTAAGTCTTTAAACATTTGAAGGGACAAATCGAAGACAGAGATTAATAATAAGCTAACCTTGTTGTCTTCGAAAACAGAATAATGACATATAGTTGGTCTGACTTTTCTTCTATATTCAATATGATTTTGAACTTGTTTTCTATTCAATTTAATCTTTGACCTTTCAAAAATCTAATCTACTTAAAAGAGATCTTTCGGTCGCAAATTCTGACACGGTTGACTTAAGTTAGTCCACGTGGCTCATGTGGCTTCTATTGCATATCTTTCTCATTCATTTGGCCCAAAAAGAAAGGAAAAAGATTTTGCCAATTTGGAAAAACACTGTAATAATACACATCGTTATTTTAGCCTAATAAATGCTGATGTGACATTCAATGTCCCAAAGCGATACCCTTAACGAAAGTACTACATTGAATAGATTTTTAAAAAAATTAGAAATTAGATTGAACAAAAGATAAGTTCATCGACCACTCATATAATAATGCCAAAGAGAAGATGGCATCTTGCCGGTTAGCCTGGAACTCTTCCAAAGAAGGAAGATATTGGGAATTTGGTGTTACCCTTTCTTTCAGCTAGAATTGTTGAACTGTCAATTTGGTACATGGCCAACTGGGCCCATTTTCCAATCTGGGAAGCTGGTTTGGTAAGTCATCTTGAGGTGGAACCAGAAAGTTGCTTGAACCAGAAGGGTTGAATCTCAAAGACACTCATGTCATCTATATGACAAAGATATATAATCATAGACAACATGATATTATGTCTCAACTCTGATCTGGAGGTGCAATGTGACAGATTTAGGACAAGTTTTCATACTCTTACATGAAAAACGTATGCATTTTTTTAACATGTGCTCTTTATTAGCTCTTTTTTTTTATCAATTTGTTAGCACAAAAAACAGAACGTGCGTATATTTTCAGCATTTGCTCTTTATGGATTGCTGATCTTGCAATCTACAATCTTGTACATGATAAAGAAAGAATAGTTAGTAATTTGGCAGATTCAATTTTCAATGAAAACTTTCAGTGCTATGCATAGCTAATATTAGTCCAAAAAGAAAAGTTTGTTTTGGACTTAATGTCATATAACTTATCAATATCCAGAAGAAATGCTCTATAACATTCTCTCATTTATTTAGCTATTTGGTAGGAAAAAGGAGGCAAAAGTCTCAAATAGTAGATCGTTTTGGCAAGACAGTACAAGCTTAGTCGCTGAAAATTAAAGTGATTAAATTTATAAGAGGGAGTAATTGTTGGTTAAACTTCGGTCAAAATTTTCAATACTCGAAAGAAATGTCTTAAAGCCCAAAACCATACCTGGAGGACTGGGAAATGAATGAAACAATTCAAACCTATATGGTACGGTAAATGATGGTTTTTTTAGAATGAAAAGCCACTATATGTTGATGTTTAAAGTCAGAGAAAAAATAACGATAAAGTATTTATGGTGGCTCAACCACAATTAGGGTTGTATGATATGTATTTATAGGAGTTAATAATAACACTAAGGGTACATATAGAAACATAATTATAGGATTACCCCATAATACATATAAATTACACGTTAATACTCTCCCTTCAATTTGAAGTAGGTGTAACAATTGAGAGATTGGATCTCAATAGCGTGTGACGCGGATTAAATAGTCCCCTGGTGAAGATGTTTGCCAACTAATCCCTTGTAGGCACGTAGTGAACACATAGATCGCCGGAAGTAACCCGTTCTCAAACAATGTGGTAATCCAACTCTATGCGTTTGGTGCGAGCATGAACCACGGGGTTGAGAGCAAGATAGGTGCCAGAGATGTTGTCACAATAAATGGTGAGAGGATTAAAAAAGAGGACCCCGAGCTCACGAAGTAAATGACGAATTCCAATAATCTCAGCAATACAGTGAGCGACAGCACAATACTTAGTCTCCATCCTAGAATGGGCCACAGTGGGCTGCTTCTTAGCACTCCATGAAACTAGATTGGTGCCTTGAAAAACACGAAAACCAGAGGTGGATCGTCGAGTATCAAAGCATCCAGCCTAGTCTGCATCTGCATAAGTAGTCAATGAAGTGGGAGAACACCGCTCAATGAGCAATCCATCGGTGGAGATGCCAGCTAAATATTGGTATATACGTTTAACGGCCAGGAGATGAGGTAATCTTGGTTCATGCATGAATTGACTAACCAAGTTCATTATAAAACTAATCTTTGGTCTGGTCATGGACACATACTGTAGAGCACCAATCATATGTCGATACAATGTCGGAGAAGTGAGAACCTCACCCTCGTTAATGGACAATAGAGTCTTCGAGACTAGAGGAATAGATACAGACTTGACCTTAACAAGGTCAAACTTCCACAAAAATCCATCAACATACTTGGTTTGAAATAAAAGCTCACCGACAGAGCAGTGATGAGCCTCAACGCCAAGGAAATAGTAAAGTGATCCAAGATCCGTCATAGCAAAGTTCTGTGAGAATCGAGTAATCAAATACCGTAATAACGGAGGAGTATCACTGGTGACAAGAATATCATCAACATACAAACAAAAGATATAGACGACCCCGAGAAGAAGCATAGACGACCCCGAGAAGAAGCATAGACGAATAATAAAGGATCGGCCTTACTCGTCATGAAACCCAAAGATAATAAAAAGCTGCTAAAGCGATGAAACCATGCACGTGGAGCTTATTTTAAACCATAGATGGCTTTCTGGAGATGGCACACGTGATTCGGAAACTTAGGATGAGAGAAACCGACGCATGTAAACTTCCTCACAAAAGGATGTCATGCAAGAAGGCATTCTAAATATCAAGTTGACGTATGCTCCATCTCGAAGAAATCACCGTAGAGAGAACAATATGAATTGTAGTGGGTTAAACTATCAAGTTAAATGTCTCGTCATAGTCCGCTCTGACCTACTGCTTAAATCCTTGTGCAACATGACGAGCTTTGAAGCATTCTACAATTCCATCAGATTTTCCTTGATTTTAAAATCCATTTACAATCGACTAAATTTTTGGAAGAGTTAGATGGTACAAGATCCCACATTTGATTGATAGCCAAGGGATTAAATTTATCTGCCATGGGCGCTCAATATGGATCAAGAATCGCCTTAGAGTAGTAAATCAGTGTCTCTTCAATAAAAGAATGAGAGAGATTAAAAAATTTCCACGGTTTAGAAATTCTAGATTTGGCACGAGTCTACATAGGATGAGTCGAAAAAGAAGAAACGAAAGTGGAGGAGCTGGATAGAGATGTAGAGGGAATTTGCGGGTCTGTTATAAGAGGAATTTGTTCTGGAGAGGAGTCAGGTTGGAACACAGTGAACGGATTCAAAGGGAGGGGCGGTGGAGGCGAAAAAGAATTGGAAGTAGGATGAGTAAGTCGAGAGGAGGAGAGAGGCATTTTAGGAGGTTGGGCTTGAGAAGAAGAAAGAGGCTAATGAGATCTTGAGAGCCAAATGAGGTAAAAGGAAGAATAGATTAATTGGAGGAAACAAAATGCGAAGGAATTAATCTGGACCAGTGGGTTACGTGACTAAGAGTTGAAGGTTTTAATGAAAAAGGAAATTTTCCCTCATCAAACCGAACATGACAACCGATAAAAATAGGACCACTTGATCGATCAAGGCAACGATAACCTTTGTGATCTGACGTATACCTAAGAAATATACATGACACAGAATGAGGTGTCAGCTTATGAGAGACAAGAGACTGAAGCAAATGATAACAAGCACACCCAAAACCCCAAAAGGACGAGTAATCTAACTTAAACTCAAATAAACAATGGAAAAGAGAAATATTATATATGACAGGAGTAGGAAGCCGATTAATAGTGTAAACAGCAGTGAGAACAACATCAACCCAATATAAAGGAGGCATCTGAGCATGGACTAATAAGGTTCGAGATATTTCAACTAAATGTCTGATTTTACACTTGACAGACTATTTTGAGATGGGGTGTCTAGACAAGAAAAATGTTGAATAATACCATTTTCACGAAATATGTTTGGAACACATTATTGGAATCTTCACCTCCCTTATTAGTTTGTAAAAATTTGATTTTAACATAGATTTCGATAAAACAACGGAAGCAATGAAAGTGTATAAGCACTTCAAATTTATTTTTCATGAGAAAGACCCAAGTAAACCGAGAGTAGTCATCAATGAATAACACAAAATACTTGAAATCAAAATTAAATAAAATTGGACTTGTTTATACATCAGAATGCATTACAACTAAAGGAAAAAATGCACGGTAACTAATAGACTCAAAAAACAATCGGTGAGATTTGCCTACAAGACAGTATTAACAAGATATTGACTTAGAACTAGAATTACAAACACAACTCAAAATATGATTATTTAGATGGCCAAGACAAGCATGCAGCAGGTGAGTGAAGCAAAGGAAGCCACGATAGGATGCGAGTGAGATGACACCATTAAGTTGGAAATCAGATAAAGACCATGAGAAGATTTAGACTAGAGGAGATTTTCTCGGTTCGTTGAGCCTTCAAAGAAAATGATGAACCACTAAAATCAATGGCACAAAAATTTTTATAGCAAAGTTGAGTAACTGAAGGAAGATTGCAAGTAAGATTAAGATAGACATGAGATAACAGTAAAGATAAATAACCAATATGTAAAAAGGCTTTACCGACTTTCTTAATAGGCAATGAACGATCATTACCAATCGAGATTTTTGTCAAATTGTAAAAAGGTCTATAAATTAAGATTTTACTTATATCACTAGTTATGTGTGCCGATGCTTCGCTATCAAGACACCAAGTTGAATAAGAGGTCTCACCAATCGAGAGAGCTGAGAAATTGTTTGATAGATCAGTGGTGGTGAAGGCATGGTT